TGTTTATTTTTTTCTAGGGTTTCTTAGAATTTTTTCCTTTAATAACATTTTTTATATTTTAACGAATAGATTTTTTCACAGAACTTTTTATCTTTTAACTACTAATTTTTTTATTTTTAACAAATAATTAAATAATTAATTTTATATCTTGTGTCTGATAAAAGAAACACCATGATTTTCATAGTTGCCAAATGGAAAAAAAATAAAAGTTGTGATATGATCACAGATACCTTCGAATTCTCTAAAATATTTATAAATTTGAGCTACTTGGAGTCCAAAAAGTCAATAAAAATATGCGTTGTTTATGTGTATATATAATATATATTGTTTTCTCCGATATTCACGTTTCAATATCAAACAACAATAATAATGACATCAAACAATATCTTTTATTGATTAAAATAGAAAAGTCTGAAGATAAAAGAATATTTAAACTATAATTTGTATACATGGTAAATAGTTTTTAAAAATGATATATGCATATCTGAATAAGATGCATCATAACACTATTCAATGTAGACGTCACACGCTACCACGCGTGCATGGCCTCTTACGCGGATATCTGCAGTTTTATAAAAAAAATTTGAGAGAGAGAGAGGACGACCACGGGTTAATACAAAAATGTTAAATACGATCATTAAGTATCAGAAAAATAAAGTTAAAAAAAAACTTATTGTTCCAAAAACTCATCTAACTCTGGAATACAGGGATTGTATTCGAACTTAGTAGGAGAAGTGGACGATATAGTGATCTTGCCTATGTTTATAAACACATATAGAATCAAAGCAATAAAGCAGGAATAATATAAAGACTATACATTAGTATACTAAAAATACCTCCAAAATAATCAATGACCGCCCATCTAAGCACACACACAATAATATCCTGATCACAGCGTCTCCAAGATGCATAAAAGCTTTTACCCATCTCACCGGATAATTCACAACTCAAATCAACACCACTAAATTAAAACACGTCACACATAATCAGCTAGGTAGAACAAATAAAACGACAATATACAGTTTAAAAACATTCAATAGACAGTACCGCTTATCCATCAGACAGAATGTTACGGTTGAATATGCACCCCATATTTTCGGAATCACATACATCCTTACATGGACTGCCATAGGAAGGAACAGGATGCTCTCCAGAGAGTAAACCACACCACGTCCCAGATCGACTTACATTTAAGACCCGACCTATCAAATCTTCATAAACAATAAAAACTAAACCATATTAACATCAGCAATATAATAATAACGAAATTCAATAACTAAACCGAAAATAAACACACCAACTATCATCATGGGCACGATCCAATATCCTTTGAAAATCAACGAAGTCAAAATAAGCGTTTTCACATCTACGTGAAGTCTTATCAATGATAGTTGATGGTAGGAACAATATTTTGTATCTATGAGAAGTCGGTCTACAACTATCCTCACAATCGATAACAGAAAAACGACTGATAATAATCCAACTACCAACATCTATGCGAGACGCTGCGACACCGATCTCACCATCTCTAACAGTGGTCTGAATTTTAACACCCTGTGAATAAAACAGTCAATTAGACACCAACAAATTTTTATAATATTTTTTTTTATCATAATATAATAAATACCTGTTCATCCGATAATATGAGCTCCAGGGAAGAACGTTTCGAAATTAGCATATGCATTTACGTCTGTAAAACCTTAACAAAGATAGTACAACCATTTTTAGAAGGACTGAGACGGGACACACACCTTCCAAAACACATTGAACCAAGAGAAACTGTATAAGTACACACCGAATTCTGGTGTCCCGATATACTAATATTCTTTTCGATGAGTATATCATTCGGTTCGAACTTTTGGTGATCCTCACTATCATCGTCACTCTCAGTCTCATCATCCAACATAACATCTTCATCATCATCTTCATCAATCGAATCAGCATCGGCATCATCTTCATCTTCATCATCACCGCTATCACCTTCCGAGTTATCACTTGAACCATCAGATCCTTCACAAGACTCACCGTCGTCAATAAATCATCTTCAGAATCGTATTCATCTGTTTGGTCCATATCATTGGTATCATCGTGCGACTCGGCATCAGACCCCATGTAATCCTCAAAACCATAATCATCATCAGTACCACGGCCAGATAGCACCTCAGTATCATCAGAGTCATTATCTTCTGCATAGATAAATATATGAAAAAACAACGTAGTTAAAATTCAAAAATAAATATCAAAAACAAAAAAAAAGGAAAAAAACGGTGCTCAAAACAAAAACGAACCATTGAAACCAGTAGATTCTTTATTTATAATCCAAGCATTCCTCGCAAAATCCCATAGAAAGGTCTTGTGAGCATGATCGCTCGAATTAACATGATCAGAACCTAAATGCACAAAACAAGCATCAGAAGAAACGTAAATACATATAAAATTTTAATATACATCATTAACAAAATTATATTACAGGAAGAGCAGAAATACCTCCTTTGATAAAAAAAAACTTCTGATCAAGAATAGATATATAATACGCAGAATCAATATCTACATAAAAAATGAATACGTTCGTAGATTAATATATAGTAAAGGTACGAAATTGAAAGATTAAGATATATCACTACGAAAGGTACAAAACTGTAAGATTAATAAACAGTACTACGAACCTTCGATAGCAGGATTATCTGTCCGCAAGGTCCATTCGTCGATAGCAGGAACCATAAGTAACTTGCATGGATAACCTAAAAATACAAAACAACTACTAATAAGTATTATAACTTGCATGAATAACTTAAAGAGGCACAACAACTTTTTTTTTGTGATATCGACGAAAACGTATGGAGTTATGTAACGATAATCAGATATCTCTTTGTGATCCATATTCTGGCGATCCGAATTCAGCACAGATCTTAACTCGCGAGCATAAGCTTGGTTATCAAAACCTATGGTCGAAAAAATCTTTAGAATCGTTAAAAAAGTAGAGAGCATATATATTATTATTAATTTGAGGATAGCTAGATATATACCCGAATCAGTAGACGGAACTTCCCAAGTGATGATGACTTTAGATGGATGATCAACGCTGTACTTAGAAGACCACATAGTTAGGTTTGCATGCAAATAGACAAACATGATATATCTTTTCTAAAGAGATCCAAAAAGTTAATGCTATTATAAAAACCCTAGCAAAATAAACACGGAACTCTAACAGAAAAAAATAAACTGTAAATTATGAGACGATTGTTTTAAAACACTCATATTTATACGTCTAAACAACCTAGGATTTATTTTCTTGTGAAAAATACTAAAAGGTAATTCTTGTTTTATATACAATATTATCTTCTCATGAATTTCGTAGTTATTAACTATAAAAAATGTAAAGATTCTATTCTAGATAATAACAAAAGAAATTATGACATATTTCCATTTGCAAAATCTTTAACAAATAAAAATTATTTCCAAACATCAAATTGTAACAAAAATCTAAAAATTAAAAAAAAAAAATCTAACCATAGGACTCGAACCCATGAGCATTCGCCAAATGGATAAAGCACCTAACCAACACAGTTACTATTTCATTCAGTGTAAACAACATATTGGAAGGTATGTATAATGTTTCTGTATTTAAAAATTTGGATGTTGGACCACGTTATTCGGCAGTTAGAAATACAGCCCATGTTTCATTTTTTTAAATATGCTTAGCATTTAATATATGGTTTAATAAACATTTAATTTATGGTTTAAATGATTAAAAATAGTTGATCAACCAATCAAATTATAACGTAAGTTGACCAATCAGAATCCATGATTTTCATTTATCAAAACGACACACAAAGCTATGCGTTAAACCACAGCTCGATTTACTTCTTAAATACTATAATAGATCTGAAAATTACAGGCTGGAATTATTATCGGGATCTGTTATCTGATTTGGAATCTGCTCCAATCTAGACCTAAATAATAAATGATGAATCTAGCGAATTTGGATACCGATAATAGAAAAAAAAAATCAGATATCCGATATCCGTTTAAAAGTTTAGACTTACCCATAATGATAAAATAAGCCCAATAAATTAGTAATATGAGTAAATCTAAACTTTCAAAGGTTCAAGGTTTCATCTTTCTTCTTTGAAATCCAGTTTTATTTCAAAGAAGCTTATCAAATATGGCAAGGTTCAAAGTTTCATCTTTCTTAAATCCGTTTAGTGACTACTTTAAAAAAAAAAAAGTAAATTCAAAGAAGCTCATCAAATATGTCAAAAGAAGTTCATCAAGTATGTCAAAAGAAGCTCATCTTAAATCCTTTACTTCAAAGAAGCTCATCTTAAATCCCTTACTTCAAAGAAGCTCATCAAGTATGTCAAAGATTTAAGGTTTCATCTTTCTTAAATCTATTTAGTGACTTTTCTTTTAAAAAAATTATAAATCCAAAATCAAAATAAATTAAGTTTATTTATTCTATTTTTTAATTAAATAAGTTGGATCAGATTCAGATATCCGTAACATCCAAAATTTTTAGCAGATATACGGTCATATAACCCGGATATCTGAAGTTTTAGGATCCAGAATCGGATAATAATCTTGATTATTCAACAATACGGATTTGGATTCAGATACATTAAAAAACTCGGATATCCGGGTATCCAAATTACCAGATAGTAATTGTTTTAAAGAAATTTGGTCAAATTTTGTAAAATTGTTTTATTTTGACAAACATAATTAAGAAACGGATATTCCAAATTTTCTAGTACTTTTGTTAATATGGCCCTATTAGACTTTTGTTTTTTTGGCCATTTAGAGAATTGCCCAATTTGATTCCATTCAATTCTTTTATTAATCGTTGGAGCTCAAAAAAAAACGAAAAAATGTATTTATGATGAAGATAATTAAATAAAGTTATAAACGAATCTTTGGAGCCAAAAATATCAAAAGTTTCGCGGGCAAATTTTTTTTTTCTTTTTGCATCAACGAAATGTTATAAAGTCTCCTCGAACAAAATTTGGGAAAAGGAAGAAAGGTTTAATCTGAAACCCTAAAGCGACGACAAAAGAGAGTTCACTGCCGCAACGACTGATTCGGTGACTGATTTTCCATTTTCCGTTCAGGTACGTGAGATTCATATCTTAACGCGATGTGAATTTTCTGATTTGCTTCCGTTAATTAGCAGTTACAAACACGTTTCTTCATTTGTGTAAGATGCAGAGTAAAATAGTTCGAACAATTAGAGCTTATTAGAGATTAGAATTAGAATAAGTATGAGTTATCTTAATCCGATGGATAATTTAGGATTTGCTGAAGCAAATCAGCAACTAGAACATGTTTGAAGATTTGTGTGAGATGGGTGGAATAAAGTAGTTCGAACACAGTTAAACTTATAGTGTTATGTTTTAAATTTTTTGATAAGTTTAGTGTTTAGAGATTAAAATTAGATTATGTCTTAGTTCTTTTTTGTTTATCTGTAACAAAATAGGAAAGGGAAAAATGACACCGTTGGGGATTAGAAAGCAACCAAGTGGAGCTGAAAAAAGAAAAAGGAGAAAGAAAATACAAGAATTTGTCAAGTCGCAAGCCAATTCTATGTTGAAGTTCCTCAAGAAACCCGAAAATTCTACTGAAACCATCGGTGCTCAAAGAAATAACAGAGATGATACTGGTCAGAGTAAAGTTGCTCCTGAGAATTTGGATGGGGGTAAAGAGAATGATGAGGAAGAAGAGGTTGTGTATCAAAGTGAAAACAAGAAGGAACATATCTCTGAAGATATGTTTGATCCTGGGAACTGGAGAAACGTTGATACGAGATTGAGAGAATTATTGGTTGAAAAAGGTCCAGTGGCAAGGCTACCAAGTGATTATCAGTTTCCTAAGGATGCTAATGGTAAGCATTTCTCGCATGCGTGCTACATAAGAGTAATGGCAAATGGAGAGAAAGTAGACCGAAAATGGCTGGTTTACTCAAAAGCTATGGACAAAGTTTTTTGTTTTGGCTGCAAGTTGTTCATAGATGATGATCAGAAGAATGTTAGTCATACTTTGGTAAATACAGGGTATAATGATCGGGGAAATGTTTCGACATTTCTCAAAGAACATGAAAGAAGTTGTGATCACATTCGTTGCGTGACTCGTTGGGCACTGTTGAAGATAAGTCTACAAAAGAAGAAGGAATATATCTCTGAAGATATGTCTGATCCTGGGAACTGGAGAAACGTTGATACAAGGTTGAGAGAGAAATTGGTTGAAAATGGTCCAGTGGCAAGGGAACCAAGTGATTATCAGTTTCCTAAGGATGCTAATGGTAAGCATTTCTCGCACGCATGCTACATAAGAGTATTGGCGAATAGAGAGAAACTAGATCGACGGTGGCTGGTTTACTCAAAAGCTTTGGATAAAGCCTTTTGTTTTTGCTGCAAGTTGTTCAAAGATGAACAGAAAAACGTTGGTGGTAACTTGGCAACTAGAGGGTACAATAATTGGAGAAATGTTTCTACAAGGCTCAGAGAACATGAAAGAAGCCATGATCACATGCTTTGCATGACTCGTTGGAAACAGTTGGAGATAAGACTACATAAAGATCAGATAATTGATAAGCTGATTAAGTCATAGCTTGAGAGAGATTTGAATGAGTTTGATTATGGACATTGTGTTGTTTTTTTTTTGGAAACTACTTATGACGTTCTAAATATATTAAGATTCAGTTTTTCCCGAACAACATTTGTTCCTTTGATGGTTGCTTGTTTATTAATATGCTTTATTATATATATGTAAAGTTAATACATTTTTTATATGCGTTTGAGAGATCTCAGAAGTGGTTAATTAGAAGTAAACATTTGACCAGCATAGAATCCAATCGACAGCAACAGAACCGCAGCTGCGGGAGCAACCATACCAACTGTGATTGCTTTCTTGTTATTCTTCATCAATGCCACATATCCTCCAAGATTCTCCTTGTATGCATTCACTTTACTTTTGTAATCTTGGTTAAGTATACCATCACAACATTTTTCCTTCTTTGTAGATTTAAAAGTGTCCTCTTCTTCTCTTGATGCCTTTGGCAAATGAACCTTCTCGGTCTGTTTCTTTACTTCCGGTTCTTTCTCTCTTATTGGCTTTGGTGGTTGAACTTTCTCGGTTTCCTTAGGAACTGGAGGAGGTTTTGTGGCTGTACCAGTGGGAGAAGTTTGTTTGCTCACTGGCTCGGTTCTAGGGAGCTTCAAAACAAGATTTGCGCCTTCAAATTTGGCAGCGATGGAGTCAATATCGGTGTTTGGTTGAATAGGAAACTCCTTGCGGAAACGGATCCATCTGTTGGCTCCTGCAGGACGTTCTCCCATCACTCTTAGCTTCCTCGTTGTGGTTACTTGCACTTTAAGTTGCTCTTTCTTAAATCCTGTTATTCCATGAACCGATTTTCACAATTCAAGAACCGAAAAAAAAAAACCATAATGCTATAGATTGTTGAGTAAATATTAATACCTGGAAGGTAAACAGTGAGAGTTTCGAATCCTTGTTCAGATTTCCAATTCGAGAGTGGCTCGAATTCATCATAGATACGATTAGAAGTAGCATGATCAGATTTTCTCTCCATTTTCTTAATTTCTTGGTTTGAATTTTGTTTTGGAATAAGGATCTTTAAGTTATGTTGATATCATAGGGTATCCAAGCGATTTCTTTATATACTAATGTACAAATGATATTTTGTAAGCTGTTTTCTTTGAGATTGGGTTATTCCTTTACTTTGCCTAACTATTATGGTCGCCTTCTTTATTGTTCTTCCTTATTATATACATTTTCTTACAATTTTATTTCCAATTCTCAATAAAATAAATATAACAAAAGGTGAGAAAATGCTTTACTTTGTTGGGGATGGCTTCAAGTAGAGAACAAACAAAAAGTTTTTATTGTTCAGATTAAAGGATCAACGGTTTTCTTTAGGATGATGCTTTTTCTCTAATGATTCTTTTATTTAATATTGTAATGTCTTTCCTATGTTTATCACACAACGTGTGAACATCTAAAAAAAAGCAAAACCCAAATTTTTGTATAGATGTCTGTAGAGTCGATGTAAGGATTAACGTTTACCCCTTAGGATTTGAGGATTAATAGAGATATTTTTAGTATGTTAAACCTTTGAATATGTATAGTGTTTTAAATCAGATTAATTTATCAGCTATGATTCGGAATGTATGAAAACTGAGGAATCCTTCAAAAACGTAATAAGAGTTGATTCACAATATATTGAACCCATACAAATTAGTCCTTATCATACTAGACGTATTATTCACAATTTATCGAACTAAACACAATTATTTAACTAAAACTTTTTTTTCTTTTCACTATCTTCTTCTTTTTACTTATATATTCATTTTGATTAACCTAATTTACTTTGTTACTAAAGTATTAATTCCTTCTGTTTCAAATTAATAGATGTTTTAGGAAAAAAATTGTTTCAAAAAGATAGATTCTATGTTTTTTTTATTAGTTAATGATGATAAACTGTAAATTCAAGAAATATAATTGAGGTTGGTTTAGAGTTATAGAAAATATCACAAAAAATGGTGCATTTATACTCAATTTTTTAATATTTTTTCTTCATATGTGTGAACGGCTTAAACCATCTATTAAATTAATTTGTGACAAACATGAAATGGGCGATTTTGTATTGGTCCATAGGTGTGAATGTATGGTGCATGTAGTTTATCTCTTGCTACTTATCGCTTTTTTTTTGTTTGTATGAGTTATAATCAATCCCTGACGATTCTAGTCGTGTTATGATTTCGACTTCTCTTAAGTGTTTTTTTTTTAACAACTTCTCTTAAGTGTGTATGTCAAAATGTTGAAATGTGCGATTTGTCTATTGGTTAAAATTGTATTAGACTCAGAGTATGATGAATATTTGCTAGTTTAAACCTTACGTCTTTTTATAATTTAATTTAAAATGAAAATTATGAGGATAAATCAATCCATAACTCAACCACGCGGATCAATCTGGCTTTTTTTTTTTGGTCAAACAGATCTTGTAGATTAGCGACACTTCATTAGAGGAGGAAATGTTTACAGACGATAACAAAGCCAACCTGGCTAACAAGTCCACGGCTACAAACGCCAAACGAAGAACATAAAAACAAAAGATAGGAGCAATCATTATACTTAAGCCATAAACACTGTTGAGAAGTTCTTGTATCTCGAGAATCTTAGAACTAAACAGTAGAATAACGCCAAGGAGAACAAAGAACACAAACAATGATCCAATGTCCGTGATTGATACCGCAACTAATGCTAGATTAACAATCTTAAAACTGGCTGCAAAAACAAAGGCGACATAGCACCAATTTGCTAAGCCTTTGAGAATTACAGAGAGCGGAGCTTCTGTAGACCAACATTCAAATCCAGAGGCGGACTGTGCAACAAAAATGCCACAGTACATGAGCCATGGGATAAAGGAAGTTGAAATTGATCCCAAGAGAGTGGCGATACTTGAGATCCAGAACCACCTCCATAAGGAAAACCTGCTATCCAACCATAAACACTCCATCGAGGAGAAGAAGCAGACCGAAACCCACAAAGGTGTAGGAAAGCTGCATCCAAGCAGTAAAGACTCTAGAACAGAGGAATTAATGGGTAAAAAACACTCCATATCGGAGGAAACTGGTAAGGTAAGTGATATTCCAACAAGGAGAAAGGGGTTGATAACACAAGATGATTCATGACTCGTGTCTCTGACATACATGAGGCAAGAGTTGGAAGAGGGTTACCAGAAAGAAGGTAACAAGGCAGATTTGGTGGCTCCAACAAAGGGAAACCAGCAGCAAAGCCGGTCTTGGTCGTGGCTCAATCTGGCTTAAGCATAATTTCTTAGTTGGATAATTAGTAATCATTTTTTCCGTAAATTTGAAAAAAAAATCGACCCACATTTATGTAAAATCGTTATAAGGAAAAGAGAGTAAAAAAAATATGGAGAAAACCTACATAAGCTAAGAAAAAAAAATGGTGAAACATAATAAAACCAAACAACCCACTAATTTTTTAGAATTTAAACATCAAGACAAAAACTTAAATAGAACTAGTTTAGTCGACTTCCTCGATATTGGGGCCAGCACCGCCCGAAGAAGGAGGAGCTTCATCATCAGGACCACCTGCTTCACCACCAGCTCTTTGATACATCTTAGCAATGATCGGATTGCAAACACTCTCCAACGCCTTCATCTTGTCTTCAAACTCATCTGCTTCAGCCAATTGGTTGCCATCAAGCCATTGGATTGCCTCCTCAATCGAATCTTCAATCTTCTTCTTTTGTGCACCAGAAAGCTTCCCACCAATCTTGTGATCACGGATTGTGTTTCTCATGTTGTAAGCATAGTTTTCAAGAGCGTTTGTGGCTTCGACCTTCTTCTTATGATCTTCATCTTCAGACTTGTACTTCTCAGCTTCTTGCACCATCTTCTCAATCTCATCTTTAGACAAATGACCCTTGTTGTTGGTGATTGTGATCTTTTTCTTTTTTCCGGTGGTCTTGTCCTCGGCAGAGACATTGAGTATGCCGTTTGCATCAATGTCAAAACAGAATGTGATCTGAGGACCACCATGTGGAGCCGAAGGAATAACAGAGAGCTCGAATTTGCCGAGGAGGTTGTTGTCTTTGGTTCTTGCTCTCTCACCTTTGTAGACTTGGATAAACACACCTGGCTGGTTATCTGAGTAAGTGGAGAAGACCTGTTCCTTCTTGGTCATGACTCCACCAGCTGTTTCAAGACCAAGGGAGAGAGGTGTGACATCAAGCAAGAGAAGGTCTTGGACCTTTTCGTTTCCTTCACCGCTTAGAATCGTGGCTTGAACAGCTGCACCATATGCAACAGCCTTGTTGGGGTTGATAGACTTGCAGAGCTCTTTGCCGTTGAAGAAATCTTAGAGAAGCTGTTGAACTTTGGGGATACGTGTAGAACCACCAACAAGGACAACATCATGAACTGTGCTCTTGTCCGTTTTAGCATCACGGAGACACTTTTCAACAGGCTCCATACACTTCCTGAAAAGATCTATGTTGAGTTCTTCAACCCTAGTGCGCGTGATTGGAGAATAGAAATCAATCCCCTCAAAGAGAGAGTCAATCTCAATGGTGGTTTGCGCGGTGGAAGAAAGTGTCATCTTTGCTCTCTCGCAGGCTGTTCTCAACCTCCTCAGATGAGACACCCAAAACCGGAGAAACCCTATTGAATAACTTGACTTGCACTCCACACCAAAATGATTTTTTAAACAACACCTGAAAGGGAAAAGAGGGATGAGCATTTTGAAGATACTCAGTCAGAATGATCCTACATGTCCACTTGATCTATACGAAAAATTAAATATAACCACATATATGTCTACTTAACCTAAGATTAGACATAAAAAATCATAAATATTTCACAAGTACACAGAAACCTAACACACAAGTTAACATATATGTCTACTCACGAGAACGTCACACTGTTTAAATCTGGTTATTCGTCAGCCACAAATCTCACAGGCCCATCAACCCCTAAACTGGCCATACTTCCTCTGTGTATGGTCCAGCCATGGTCCCACTTTGTGAAATGTCCTTTGTGAAGACCAGCAAGCAATCCGTCAATAGGCTGGGATCAATCATGCGCTCTAACGCGCATAAACTAACACCAATACACAATACATACAACAGTTCTCAAAGAATCATTCATATTCATTTTAATTACTAATCAATCTCTAATTCTAGGTTCAGCACACACATATACAACTATGTCTAAGAGAACCTATAAATCCACAAGTCCCGCCTCACCTTTGCCACTGGATGATGAATAACAAATATGTTTCACATTCGGCCATATTTGACATCCAACAGGAAAACAATCATAACTTTCTTGTCACAGCTTGGAATGGGTATCGGAAGATTGATATGAAAATCTGGATTAAAGATCTTCACGATGGTATGTAGATATTCTTCTGAAGCTTCCTAGATCGCCGGAAAAACGCTTCATAAGTCGGCTGCTTGCAGGTCGGACCTTTGCAAATATGGTTCGAGAAAACACTCATAACTTCTAGAAGAAAACTCCAATAATTATCCGTTTGCGGTTATAGCTAGATATGAGGGTCTAGAATCACCTTACTAAGTTTTGTGCCAATCTGATCTGATTTGACCACCCGATTATCTTTCACGCCAGAACACGTCAGATCAGCCTTCTAGGTTGCTGGAATAGCTTCTTCTTCGAAGTGTTTTGATGGTGGCTTCTCAAATGTGACTCCAGCAGGGTTTTGCTGCTCTGATCTCTCTGTTCCTTCTCTGCCACGAACTCACTTTATATATAGGGTAAAAGGATGAGACTTCCTAGGTTTAGGGTTTTCCAAGCAAATGTCCTCTTTTGCCTCTAATGAGATTTTTGGAATGTCAGAAACTCCCCTATTTAAAATAAATTTCGTCCTCGAATTTGGAGTTATCTCTCATCCACTTGGTTATCGACCCCACCTTCGCGTCCTTCAAAATCATTTCACTGTGACATCCCAACGGATATGCACGCTACACAGTAGATCTCCATACCTCTCTTAGATTCCATTCCATCTTATCAATGCTGAAATCTTCAACTAATGAACTCGGACTTGGCCCATTCTTTTATCCCAAATGAAATTTGAA